CACAAGGCTTCCCTTGAGATGAATGTTACAATTAGTCTTCATAATCATCTCATCTCATAGGACGTTTATCGATAAATGTACTTGAAAAAAAACAAACATTTAATGTATTTGTCAAGTTGACTTCATATCATTTTCACTTCATGGTTTGATCATAATATATTAAAATTGCCCTCTTTTAATGTAATCAATCATAAATTTATTAGCAAACAATTGAGATTTAGAAATATTACTCCAAGATATTAGAATGAAAAATGAGCAATGAATAAAGATCAATTCTCAAGAAATCAGCCGGATGAGACGACATGTTTTAAATTGATTAAAAGTCAAATTTATCCGCCCCCCCCCCCTCAGAGGTTTTATAGAATTTTGAACTGTGTTCTTATCATCAATCTTTTTACGTCCCAATGAGACAATCACTAATAAATAACTGTTTTATTAATTTTATTCCCAGCACTTAGAATTAATAAAATCAACTGTAAATAAATGATGTCAAGTCAACAGGAATTTTTATTACAATCGATTCTAAACGATGAAGCTGTATTGAAAATCGAATGATTGTGAAGAATAACAATAAAATGGCATTTCAAACGACATGACTGGCTTGTGAATATTACAACTAACGCTATCTATTTTATAAAAACTGACACGTCCACAACATCTTAATCGGTTAAATATGGAAGTTCCGCTTTTTCTTTGAGAAAATCTGCTATTGCTGTTTCAGTCACATATTCTAATGTGATTTGTGTTTTTATTTTAATATATTAACATTATCATTAAGCACAATATACAACTGAAACGATCGTGATTTATAGATGAAGTTTTCTTTCTTTTATTCGGAGCCTGATGCTCGCACCGTTTATTATTAAATGATAAAAAAGCTTGTTGAACAAAATTATAAATGAATAATTTCATTATGTTATACGAAGACCTGATTAATTGTTGTCAAATAATGTTTCAATTGTTTGTTGAGCTCAGGTAAAAACACAATCATTTTTCTCGTTAAATGAATTGTATTACATAGTGTTGACATATTTAATTAACAAGTTTGATTACAACTCTCACTTCGTTTTTCTTTCCAAGTATATAACATTTATTAGAAATCGCTAGTTGAAAATCAATCCTTAAATCTTAAAATAATTTAAAAAAATCTTGATAATCAAAGATAGTTCAAGTTTTTGTTCTTACAAAGAAGAAAAAGATTTATCTACATTTCAACTAATGCATAGATAATAATATATTAGAAAAAATTTTTCCAGTAGATTAAATATAAACTAGAACTCGATGAAACAAATTACTGAATTTCTTATTTTTAGATGTTTTATAAATTAAATTTTAATCTATTTTTTTTCTTGTTTATTACTTTGGTCATTCCTTTATATGGACTTGATATTGAATTAACTGTAATCATTCCAGCTAATCAACGTGAATGTTTTCATCAAATTCTTGAACAAGATAAAAAAATTGAAATTGAATATGAAGTATTAGCCGGTGGTGATATTGATATAAATTATTGGTTTTATTCTCCAACGAATCGTATTTTACAAACAGAATTTAAAAAACATGATGGTCATCAAAGATTAAAATTAGAAGAAACAGGAGAATATCGTTTTTGTTTTGATAATTCATTTTCACGTTTTAGTCAAAAACAAGTTTATTTTAGTTTAAGATCATTTAATGAACAAGGCATAGTTGAAAAAGATGATGTAACAGAATCATGGATAAATTCAATGGATAAAGATGAACTTGGAGATTTACAAGATAAAATTCAAGATATAAAAGTAAGAAAGAAATAATTTTCTAATAGAAAAAAAAATAGACAACCATTAAAGAGTGTAGTTGATACAATCTAAATTTTATCGGTAATTTTTCTAAGATCTATATAGATTCTGAAGTGTATTCTTGCTTCTTGTATCATGTTATTTAATTGTGTAGCTATAAAATACTGATATAAATTTGATATTTTTATGATAGGAGATAAGTTATCAACAGTGCTTAAATTATTTTAGAAGTATTTCATTGATAAACATTTCAAGTAACAAATAAACTTTCATCAGTATTTTGTCATTGACTATGATCATTCATAATGTCAAATAACATATTTAAAAAATCCTATGTAGAGTCTAATCTTCAAACCTATTACTTCCTCATCAAATTTTATGACAAGTAATACCTTTTTTCTTTGCCATCGAACTTAACACATAGTAATCAATTTTTGATAAAATAATGTAACATTTTCATATGTTATATCCACGATCATAGATTGATTGTTATGTATAGGATGTTAAGCTGAATTTTTTTCTTTCTTCTTGACATTATCAAATAAATTTTATTGAAATATGATGAAGGTGAAATTTTACATAGATTAAAATATAAATTTCCAAAACGATATTCTATTGTAAAATAATTCTTTAGGATTTATTTCAACGTATATGGGATAGTATGGAAGCAGCTCAACGTTATCAAAATATATTTAAAAATTTTGAAGTACATGATCGTATTTTAGCTGAAAATAATTTTGATCGTATTAATTTTTGGTCTACTATAAATTTAACTCTGATGATTATTGTAACAATTATACAAGTTATAACTATTCGTAGTTTATTTGAAGTAAATTCTGCTTATGGTAAATTTTTACGTGGAAAAAATACTAAAAACTAAAATATATTTTAAAGACATTTTACTTTTCTGCTCATTATTGTTATATCACGGTTTTTGTTTTTTAGTTTTTTTTTTTTGTTATTTGTTATTGTTTCGAGGAACAAAAATATACGAACAATTTAATACAATGAATGATACACATAGCCTTTATGTTTTTTTAGTATCATTATCAATAAAAAGGATTGGTAATCCTTAAGGTTTTATTTTCTCTCATCTTTTTTACATTTATTCGTTCTTTATTCTTATGTTTTATGAGAGGTCGTTGTTAAAAAAATATGTATTCGTACTTTATATTTTTGTTATTTTTTTGTCATCATTCATGCTTCTTCTTCATTATTCAGTAGATGTATAACTTATCGAGAAGAAATGAATGATGTACTTTTTGTTTCTATTTTTAAATGCAACGTACATGTTGCATGCCATTATAAAAACAAGCCGCCTTTTATTAGTCTATTCTATTTTAATTTTATCCTTCAATATCTTTCTCAATGATGGTCAGTTCGAATAAATGAAAAAAAATGAGACGACGGCGCGTCGATAACCTACGAAATTGTGTTGGTGTGTGTATGTCTTTAAAGTGAGAACAGCCGTTCTTCATCATTTTGTTCGTTTATTTCTCTCCTCGTTCATCTATCTATGCATAGGAATATATGAACGATACAGACGCTTGGTATTGTTGTGCTGTTCTTTTCTTTTTTTGTAATGTTGTCCGGACGGGCTTTCGCTTGCGCCTACATGAAGTAGGAGGAGAAGAAAGAGAAGAAGGAGGTGCCAACATCAACATAGACGATTGAACATATTTGCATTGTAATCGTTCACGAGAGACATACACTCATTGTGATCGTCAGTAGCTTGTCTCGTAATAGAAAAGTGAAGTAGTTTCACTTCAGATAGTTTTACTCAATTCTTATATTTTTATAAAAATGAATTGTTTATTTCTGAGAAAAAAAACAAATTCGAATGCATATGATATGATAGAGACTTGTTTTTTTCGTCTTCATAAAAAAAATAAAAAAAAAGAAGAGAAGAAAATGAGAGAACAAGTAATCAAATAGTATTGAGAGAAAGAAAAAGAAATAAGAACGAGAGCAGATCCTTTACCGTCATTGATAATCAACGTTGTATAGTGAAAGAAAAGCAATCGTTCTTATTCTTTATTTGCTTTGATCAAAGCCTCCGCATCCGTGCATGCACATATTTGTATCTGGATCGATCTTTGAATCGTCAAGTATACTCATTTTTATTTATGTTCATTTACTGATTTTTTTTTTGACAAAGCAACTGTCTGAATCTAATCCGTTTCAATCATTACCCTATCAAATTTCCATGTCTTGGTTTTTTTTTGACTTGTTTTGTAGATTTGATAAAATTAGAAGTTTTATTGTTTTTCTTTTTAAACAATGACAACTAATGGTCATGTTACAAATGAACCACGACCACGTTTATGTCATCTTCGACGATGGCCAAATTTTGTTGGTTATGGTTTTAATTTACATTGTGAAAAATCTCGACCTGGTCAATATATTGGTAAAGTTGATCCTGATTCACCAGCAGAATCTGCTGGTTTACGTGAACATGATCGTATAATTGAAGTTAATTTTGTTCCCATTGGAAATGAAAATCATAAACAAGTTGTATCAAGAATAAAAGAAGGTGTGACAAGAAATGGTACGAAATATCCTGAAGAAGTTATTCTACTTGTACTTGATCCTGATGCTGATGCTTATTATAAAAATAAATCTATTATTGTTCGAAGTTCTGATCTGAATGTTGAAAAATTTGAAACTGAAATTCGAGATGGAACAAGTATGGCTTAAAAAAAAAGAAAAAATATATTTATATTTATTTACTTCTATATATATTTATAGTAGAAAATGGCGATCAATCACCTCATTCATCAACAAAAAGTATTGGTAAGACAGATTCACCTATTATTCGAGAAACATCATCAAGAATAATACAAAATGAACCTACTCGAGAATATAAACATGTTACTGATTTTACCGGTCCAACAGTTACACATACAACCAAAGTAAGAATATGTTTAACTTGGTTTTTTTTTCTTTTTTCAAATAAATATGTCAATAGTAACTATTTGAATAGAATGTCAAAGTTTTTCGGTTTTTTTTTGACATTATCTATTATTTGCTTTCGTTATGATAGACTTTTAATTTTCAATTGCTCTTTGTTTTTTTCTTTTTACGTTAATCAAATAGAATATGTTTATATATGGAAGCCATATATATTATCTTTTGAAGACATTAAAATACAATTGAAGTGATTGTTTTGATAAAGTTTCTTGTTGTTAATATTTGAACATTATGCTGAAGCATTAGAAAAGAAATTGACTTCTAACATCTTGAGATTGATTAATAATAAATATAAACCTTCGTTTTTAATTTCATATTATCATTGACAAAAAAAAAAACAGGAGATTTAAGAGAAGATACATTCATAATTAAAATTTTAGACTGAAAAAATAGATTTCTTGAATAATTAAGCACTAATGATATGTTCATAAATGTTAGTAATCAAATAATTAATTTTTTTTCTGCTAGTCAATTATCTAGACAGTATTTGTACTATGAATCATTTTCTGTTCTTTTGATTCGGATGTTTTACAGTAACTTCTGATTGACATTCACAATTGTTGTACTACTCGCAATGTTTTTATCTTTCATTGATCTATTATATTAATCTTCTATGCGAAATTTAATCTTTTAGAAGAATTCGATGATTTATCAGTTTATTAAGGATTTGAATATTTGTGTTTGATTCTCATGAGAAAAAAAAAATTTTAGATATTATCTTTTGCATAAGTCCCACTTGTAAATTATATCAATCCGGTAGGTAATAACTAACTGTCTCCATGTAGGATTTGAAACAATAAAAATGTTGCTCGATTATGCATCAAAATCTATATGCTTATAATTACAATTGAGAATATAAGAATAATATCATAGAATATTAATTGAACGTAACGAAATAAATGATTTTCAATCCTAAATCTCAAGAGAAATCATAGTAATCGAATCGAACACATCTGTAACGTGCTTCGTCTATGACAAAGAAAAATAAAAATGTCATTTTTTTTTATTACCATCATATCAAATTTCAAATATTCCAACTTGTCTATAATGAAAAAACTACATCAAAGATTAAAACTACATATTAATAAATCATTTATAAATCTAGAATATTTTATATAAATTTTCTAATATTATATATTATTCAGACTGGCAGTTCACCAACAACATCAAGAACATCTGATCAAGATAATGATCATGAAAATTATCTACAATCATCACCAACTTCTATAGACAAAGATAAACATAAAGAATTTATTTCTGTTGATAATTCATCACCAAAATTTCCTACGAATGATTCTCATTTAAAACCAATGGATAATGATGTTTCTCAAACTAGTCCACCTCAATCATCATCAGCTAATGGATCAGGAGGAACACTTGAATTTAGTAAGAATAAATAATTTTATTGTTTTTAATTTTAATTGAGATTGTTTTGTTTTTCTTTTATAGAAATGTCAGCAGCTGAATATCGAGAACAATTAAAAGCACAACAGGCTCGTAAACGTGATCCACGTCAAGATCAACAAATGTCAATGAAACAAAAACATGATTTAATTGATCGTTTGTAAATTTCCATACCAAAAAAGAAAAAAAGAAACACAAAATGAGAATGAAGAAAAAATAAACAAATAAAAACTGATTTTTCTTGTTAACTTTTGCTGATTCTATAATTTTCTCTTGCACTTGTTTCTACTAGTTTTACTATTTAAGTCTTTATGCGTGTTTGTTTGTCTCTTATCCTTTTATTACTTTTTTTTTCTCGCTTAGAGAATCCTCGCACATAGTACATAACAGTGAACATTGTTCAGCCTGATGAATGCTTCATAGAAGAACAAAACAAAAAGGACATATATATATATTAAATAGATCATGTTAGTTTTTTTTCTTCGGAAAACAAAAAAAAAGATTTGTGTATGTGTACATGTGCGTTTTTATTCATTTGTATATTGTGATTATTATTGGTTGAACTACTTATTCCTTTATGATTGTTGTTGTGCTTTTCGTCCAAAGAAATGCGTGATGATCTATATGCTGAAAAACAAGCAAAAGAAAAACAAAAAGCTTCAATAAAAAGAAAATTTATCAGAATGATCTGTCAGATTACTATTGGAGTTTGATTTGTTTATTATAATGTCGAATGGTTGTTGGGTTAGCAAACAGAAAAAAACAACAGTTGAGAATTTATACATATTAGATACAAATCTATCTGACTAGACGTTGGTATGTCTAAATTTGCCGACAAAATATTTTGTTTGTTGGAAAGTATTGATTAGTACATCTTAGAGGTTATTCTGAGAGCCATAAATACACCATCCATATTCTCTTTGTTTCTTCAGCAAAACTATTTGAAAGTAATCTAACTATAGTAACATTATTTGTTCATAAAAATAGTGTTGTTGTTGTTGTTGTTGTTCAATAAGAGTTCAAATACTGAAACATCAACTATACATACATGAATATTTATATATTTGCCTCGTTTTTTTTTCTATTTGAAAAAAATTTAAAAACATAATAATAAAATTCAATTAAAATGATAAATAAATTGTATATTATATGATATTGTTTCAAAAAAAAACAATTGTAAAGATCTTTTACATGAAGAAAATCGCTATAATTATTTCATATGGTAATTTAAGTTTCGATCATTTTGTTTCACAACATAAAGACAAGCGATAAGTTAATTGTTGATCATTTATTTGACGAAAATTAGTAGAAGTTAATTCATGTTCAAACATATAAATATCATTAATACCTTTTTCTCTATTAGATGTTATCAAAAAAATTGTTTAAGATCACATGATCATGGTTCTTCATTACATAAGAAATTTACATATTCATTTCGATAACATAGGCAATTCGGATACAAGAGTTTCTGGAAACGTCTTTAAAAACCCTAAATATGGTTCTCGTTTGAGAGATAAAAACTGGTTTTAGCAACAACAATGATTAGATCAAATGTTGCTGCCATTTTTGGAAGTTTTCATTATATCAAAGATTGGTAATTGAAATTTAAAATGTGTTCGTCAGTCTCGGAGTGGGTGTGGATGTGGGTATAGAGTGCGAGTGTGTGTTGGTGTGTGGGTGTGGGCAGGTATGGGTCGTCGTACTGTTTTTACTCGTACTTGCATCCACACCCGCACACTCCCACTCTGTATCATCTAAATTATATAATAAAAAAAACTAGATCTTTCCATGATTAGATATCGCTTTTTAAACTGACAAAATTCATTAAAAGACAAATCAATTACATCGTTGTTCGTGATCATGTTGCGCATCATTTTCCTTACTGTTTCATTTGTCATTGACGTACTCCCCATTTATTCACAGCCACTAACTAACTGATAACTAAATCAAAAACATGAAACTAGTTTAATATGGGAAGTTCAATGATACCACTGAATGGAGCTCGTCGAGTTGTGCTTGGAACACTGGCCTAGACAGATATAGGCAAGTTTTACTCGAATACGGTGCTAACTTCACCTACGTCACAACTAATATATCAAAAAAAAAAACAATACATTTTAAATAATTTCTTATAATTTGCTGACATCTACTGCCATCTAATGGTTTTATATTCCGTTTCTATAAGGTTCTATCAAGGTTTGTCCATAGAAACTGGTAAATATGATGAAGAGAAAGAATCTTTTCAGCCTTTTTTTTTGAATCTCTTACCCAATATAATCCTTGAAATCAATCATAATGGGTAAGAACATCAAATTTTTTATTTTTGAATAAAAACATTAAATATATTTGTATTATTTCAATTATAGCTAAACTCTTAATAGATGATTTTTTCCAAGATATTAATTCCGATAATAATGGTAAATTAATGAAAGTCAAAACAATGTATATATATTAGTTTGTTCTAGACAAAAGTAAAACACGTCCAAAAAAACAGGCGTCTTTTGATGACATGGATGATGATGATTTTTTTGGTTCTACAATAGTAAATTAATTATAATAAAGAAATTTTCAATTTCAACTATATTTTAGGGTACAAAAAAATCAACAACAAATACAACTTCAAAACGACAAAATGATATTGGTGATGATGTTGATCTAGATGATCGATGGAATCGAACAAGTGGTTCAAATGCTTCATATATACCAAGTTTTGGTGCTGGTAGTACCTTGGATACTACAAATTTTAGTATGTTAAATTCTATCATATTTCAAAAGTAGTATAGTTAGAAACTAGAAGAAAATCCAAATATTTGTAAGACATAAAAATTCAATTTTTTATTTGTTTGTAAAAATAATATAAAACTTTGCAAGTAAATGGATTATAAAGCTTTTGTGGATATGTTGTACAAGGCTGTTAACTGTATTCCATTTAGAATTTTTCTTTTTCTCGAGACTAAATCTAAATCACTTTATAATTAAAAAAAATTGATGAACTTTTCTATTTGAGTTCATATTGTTTTTCTAATGTGTACGAGCATTTATTTTTTTAAAGATATAGATAATTATGAAAACCTAGTTGAATGCATTTGCAATCATTTAAATTATGCATAGACATCAAAACTAAAATTTCATGATAACTGATACAGTTGCTGCTACATTGAGAATTTTCATTAAACTAAATAATTCAATATGTAGATTTTTACAGTCTCAATCAAAAATGATTACATGTACGAGAAACAAATAAGAAGACAGTCATATATAAAAAGATTTCCCTCAGTCGATTTGAACATAGATAAATAAATATTATCGACCATTTCTTGCACAAAAAAACGATGATAATAGGATTTATCTGACTGATAAATGCATTTTTTTTAGTCATATTCCCAATTATGTATCTCACAGATGTATATCATTTGAAAACGAATTGTTAGATGCAAGCAATTCAAAATTTGAGTAAATTTTTTGTCATGATTAGATAGAACTCACAGAGTTACTTATAAAACTGTTGTTTTATACATATTCATACATAAATATGAGTTTGTATTCAACAGTTTTGACCATCAGAATTTCAGTCCCGAAAGAAATAAGTATCATATTCAGAATCAACGTAAAAATCTACGTCGGACAGGATATTTAATACTCAAAATTAATTTTTGTCAAATTTTGGTCCTTACACCGCCTTAGTGTCATTTTTGAATACTCTGACATTTTCTTTCCCTAAGTTCGAAATTTGACGAAAATTAGTTTTGAGCATTAAAGATCCTGTCCGATGCAGATTTTTACGCTGATTCTGAATATGATATTCATTTCTTTTGGTATTGAAGTTCTAATAGTCAAAACCGTAGAGTACAAACTCGTATTTATGTATGAATATGTGAAAACCAACATTTTAATTAGTAATTCAATGAGTTCTATACAACCATGACAAAAATATTTTGAACTGTCAGCACTTTACTTCATCTCAGACGTTTTATAGCCCATTCGAGCCATCTGTAGTTGTCAACCTTGATGTTCTACGACTTATGATTCAGTGTTAATTCCACTTTCATGTATAGTTATGACTGATAATGTCGCATTCAATTTCTTTGAAGACTTCTGACAAAAATTGTATCGAGTATTGAATTGTAAGTCGTACAAATTCTATCGATGTTTTATATCAGACAGATCTGTGCATAACACAAGCCAGATTTTAAAAAGTATTCTTTCACATTTTACATATCTTTCTTATTGAGCCAAATTTCTTTTATGTTTAATTAATAAAAAAAAACAAATTTTAAAGTATTGTCAGCATATCGATAACAATATATATCTAACTTCAATAAAACAATTTTATTATAAACATATAGCTCAAGGCCAAGATACCCTACAACGTATTATAAGTCAACCTCGACCAGCAACATCAAGTGGTTCTCGAGTATTTGATGATTTGTTCGGAAGTAAAGATAAAATTCTTATTTTTTCTTCTTTTGATTTATTATATTTTTAATTCAGATTCATCATCAAAACCTACTACTATTGAAGATATAGAGAAAAGTAGAAAAGCAGTTAGGTAAGATGTAAATACAATAGTTAACAAATACTTATTTCTTTATTAATAGATTTGAAGATTCCGATCCTATACGTCCATCGACAGCTCCATCATCATCAGATAAATTACAAAATCGTCCTAATACAAACGTATTATCATTCTTACGTACAGGTCTTGAACCAAATAAATCAGATAATTGGCTTGGTCTTAAAGGTGAAACAAGTGATGAAGATGAATTTCTAACACAAAAAGTTGAACCTGCTATTAGTACTCTTGCTAAAAAAGCACCATTACTACCTTTTCAAAAAACATCTTCAACCGTAGATGAACCAGCAAAAAAATTAGCTAGTTTTCTTGAAGATGAGAAACGTGCATTAAAAGAACCAACAACAATACCACCAAAATTTCCAACAAAAACGATAACACAAGGTTTTCGATTAGACGAACGAACAATATCAAATCAACGTCCAGCTACACCTGGAATATCAAAAACTTTTTCATTTACAGATGATCAAGACGTTAAATCACCTTTTAAGACTTTATTTGATACGAAAACTGATTATAGTATTTTTTTTTCTTTTTGCTTTTTTTTCTAAAATGTTAATTTTTTGTTTTTCGTTTTTAGCTGATGATTTTTTTAAAGATACATCAAAAGATTCAATTTTCAATAAAGATCAACCGATTTCAACAGCAATAAGACCAAATTCTTCAACAGTAAATGTTAGTAGATCAAAAAAAAAATCAAAAAGACCTTGTTTTTTCATATTTATATTTGATTATTATAGCTTGGAATGAAAAAACTTGAATTTGAAAATAATGAACTTAAGATGACTGTTGAACATATGAAACGACAACATGAACTTGAAATGACAATGCTTGAAGACGGTTACAAACATCGACTTGAATATGTCGAAACATCATGTGAAAGAAGGGAAGCGAGGTAAGATTAATCTTTTGCCTTGCTAATCATTTGATATAGTACAATTAGCGAATATTCTAGTTTTTTTTCTAATTGAAATATTTAAAAAGAGTTCTTTAAGAAGAATCTCAGCGTCTTCATGGGTCACCTCTAATAGTTCTTTCGACTATCGCAGCTTAAAGCATTTAACAAGGATATATTTGCAACTGTCCAATTGCTCTTCGATCGGTCATGATGAGTAGTGAAAAAATTTGTTTTGATTTGTTGATGATCAAATTTCAAATGGAAATTTTTTCCATAGATAAGCTTTATAGTCATTAGAAACTTTCTAAAGTTTGAGTTAGGACAAATATACCTGTTTCGAAATATCAGTCTGCCATAGAAACAGGAAGAAACAAATGAGACTTCAGTACTCCAAAGTAAGAGTACAGTACAAATGAAGTACGAGTGGAGTACCGCACTTCACTCGTACTTCAGAATACTTAATTCTTGCGTTGTTCTCCTGATTCTATGACAAACTAATATCTCGACATAACTACGTTTATCCTAACTCAAACTTTGAAGTGTTTCTAATGACTATAAGATGTATCTAAGAACAAAATTTCAGCTTGAAATTCAATCATTCAAGTTCTCAGTGATTCTGTACTTACAGATAAAAAATCAAGGGAACCGCTCATAACTCAACAATTGAATAACGAAAAACTAAACCAAAACAAACTTTTTTATTATTCATCATGACCGATTGAATAGCCATAGCCTCAAACGAAAAGCAATTTTACAGTTGAGAACATTCATATGTAAGTTCTATCTATTCCTATTCTGATTACTAGTCTTTTTGAAACAGAAAAAGCTTCATTGTTCTTTTTTCTATGAGTTCTAATTACAAGACATGCTTTAAAACTATCTAAATTCATATTCTGTATTGATTTTCAATGAACAAAATTTCAGCTGAATTAAAATATGAAATAATATTTCTTAAGATTAAAAGAAGAAAATGGACATTTACTTCGTCAATTAAATGATCGTACACAACAATATGAAAATGAAAAATCTACTTTATTACTTGATCATCAACGCCGTTTAGATGATTTACAACGAGATCGTACAACAGAACTTGAAAATTTACGAACATTACAACGGTTTGTATATTCATTTGTTATGATCAATCAATTTTTATTCTTTTTATTTTTTGTTTTGTAGACAAACTCTTGATCATTTACGACGAGAACATGAACAAACAATTCAACGTTTAAAACAACTTAAACAAGAAGAAATATCAACAGCACTTGATGTTACAACACATACAAGGTATAAAAAATTATAAATAAATCACATTGTTTATCATTCATTTTGAATTTAATATCTGATCTAGAGCATTTCAATCTGTTGTTGATCATATGGAACAAAATGCTAAACATATTGATGACCTTAGACTTAAAGTCGAAGCTAAACATAGTTCGGTTTTAACCGATAAAGAAATTGAAACACGAGCTAAAGAACAACAACTTAAAGGTATAATTAAAAAAGAATAGTGTTTTATCTAAATTTTTCTCTTCCGGAGAGGCTGTTTTAAACTCTGGAAGAGCTAATTCGATCTTCCATAGTACCCTGCTCCACTTTCTTCGGCCTTCCCAGCGCTTGATAAAATAACAATATAAAAAAAAAAATAGAAACAATCTCATAATATTTAACGTTTTTTTTTTTCTTAGCTTATGAAGAACGTTTACAAAAGCAAGCACTTGATTTTGAACGTGAACGTAAAAATTTACAAGAACTTATTTCACGATTAGAAGTTCATCTATCTGAACAAACAAAACTTGTTGAAGAAGTATTAAAATAAAAACAAAAAAACGAATTTAAATAATTTTTTGTTGTTGTTGTTGTTGTTGTTTATTTTAAGGAACGATGGAAAACTTTACAAGCTCAAAAACGTATGGAAGCTATGCAAGATGCATTAAATGGTGAACAACGTATATTTATGGAGAAATTAACACGTGATCGTTCAGAAATTCAACGTGCTAAAGATCAATTACTTGAAGATCAAAAATCAGCATTAGCTAATATATATGAAAGTCGTTCACAATTAGCTGATGAACGAGCTAAATCAGAAGCATTACAAAAATCTTTTCAAGAACAAAAACATCGAGATATGTTACAAAATGCTGCAGTAACTAAATAGATGGAAATATATTTTTTTTTGAATTGCATATTTGATTTTTTTTTTTGTAAATAAGATTGAAGCAGAAAATCGTGCACAACAAAAATTAATTTCAGAACAATCAGCACGTCTTGAAAAACGTGAACAAGAATTAAATAAACGTGAAGAAGGATTTTTATTAGAAAAACGTGCATTAACTGAATTAAAACAACAGACTGATTTGGAACAATCAAATATAAAAAATCAATATGAAGATATAAAACAAAAATTAATTGAAATTGAACATGCTAATGAAGTAATTAAAAAAGAAAAAGAACGTTTATCACAACTTTATTTTGAATTACATGCACTTGATGGAAAAAATACTGGACGACTTCAACAATTACAAAAATCTATTCATAATTTACGACAACAAGAAGAACATATTAATGAAGTAAATAATCTATTATAATTCTAGGATTAAGATTGTTTTTTTGGTTTCATCTATTATGAGAATAAGATTGAATTTATCCTCAAAAAATCTTTAGGTAGTTTATGAGACTAGACAACTAAGAATGTAATTTGATTTCTTATTTTTGGAAAATCGGGCAAAAATGATATGCTTTGTTTTCACTTGGGTATAGAATTTATATGTAGAGAGGTAACTTATCATGTGAATTTGAGCTCTCGTTCTCGAAAAAGGATCAAGTTATATGAAAAACATGTAAGTTATTCTTGAAAAGTTGGAATTTCAAGATTGCTTAAACTATTCTCGAAAACTAGAATAGAATAGGAATGCAAATTAATATAATACATCTCTTCTGACATGCAGATTCTTTTAGCCAGAATCTACATGCTATATCTTCAGTAATTTTTTAGAGTAAGAGATATAGGCTTTTCATATCTCTGTTGTAATGTGTATGGCACTGTCATTTGATCTATTACAATTTCTTGTTGTTCTATTTGATTGTAATCAGATATTACAAAACTAATAGCTACTAGTGTGCACATTTACACTCATGTTTTTGTTTTGAATTTCTTTTGGTCTATCATTCTTTGTGTTATTATTTTAGCACATTCAATATTACTACAACACTTAGTTTTTGTTTTAAACATGAAACAAAATTAAAAATAAGAAAGAACGAAATCAAAATTACATTCATAATTGCATAATGTAGTGAACCATCTATGTAATTAGAGAAATGAATTTACTTGTTCGATCTTTCCAAATTTTTATTAATTAAAAAACAATGGGCCATTTTTAATCAACTTGAAATCTAAACAATGATCTTAAAATTGAGATATTCCTGAATTTAAACAGAATCTTGTTTTCTCAATTAGAAATTAACTATTATCAGTGTTTAATCTAGCGTAAAGGCTAAAGAAGCAGTGCCTCTCTGTAAATTTGGTTGGTCTTTTTTCGAAATTTGTGGTTATTGTGCTTGCAAAAACAAATATTTTTCCGCCTGGATTGTTAACTCGTCTCTTCGGAAGAGAAAATCCAGATAGAACATTAACTATTATATCGACTTTCTATCATTAGAATACTAATATATAACTGGAACTTATAACATAACTAGATGAAAGACCATATGAGCTATTGATTTCCTACTTGTTCATTAGTAGACGGTAAAAGAAAGTGTATAATACAGGAAAATATATAAATCGATCGATGAATTTTAGAATTCAAAGAAAAATAAGAAATAAATCGTGTTACCTGAACTTTGTAACACTGACTTCTGTATGCTAAAACTTGTCTAACAAAGGAAGTCTCCCAACTGATAAATCGCTTTTAAGTCGAGACTATGTGCATTATGCAGAATCAAATGAACTATGAATACCCTGAAAACAGTTTAGGTCCTTAATTTAATGATGCCAAGATATTTTTGAAATGAATGCCATGGTCCTCCTCAGGAACATTGAATTTCAACTTCAAACTTTACACAAACACAGTCCTTAACGAGAATAGTTTCTTCTGAATGTTTCAGATCTTGTCGTTTTTCCTATCTTAAGAAAAACACTACGATAAAAGCATTTGTTTTACATAACGGTAGATTCTATGTTCATATTTCAAAATAGAAGTAAATCAAAAGACTTGAAATTTTCACAATAAACTATTTACATCTGTACAAAGTTTCAAGTCAAAATTCAAAAATTAGTTTTCCTAAGAAAGACTACGTCATTCATTTTAAAACTACTGTATACTTGCAGTACCTTCACAACAATAAACTAAGGACAAGAATTATTTTCAGTATATTCAAAACTCATTCGAGTCCACATGAAACACATAGTACTGACTCAAAAGTAGTTTATCACTTCGGAAACTTTTCTTGTACGAAGCAATGTTCTTTCGATTATGTCAATGATAACATTTGAATCGTAATAGACAATGAAATAAACTTTTTTTTCATTTAAAATCTTACATTGATTTTGTTATATAGAAATATTCTCGTATGTCTAATGAACGTGAAAATCTAAAACATCTTCGTTCAAGTGTTCCATTCAAAAAACAAACTCCAACTGTTGATTCAGGTTTTTCAAGTAAATATTTATTTAAAATATTTACAAAAAACACAATTTTTTTTTGCTTCTTTTAGCTTTACAATTAGCTACAGTTACACCGCTTTTACCAATAAATTCTTCTCAAAAATCAATTGATGAAAGTGCTATTTTACGATCATTACGTATGAACGATCTGCAAGTATGTTTAATTTAATAAATAATTATCATTTAAAAAAAAAACATTTCTGTTTAGGATCAATTATATATTGAAGATGAAATGTCATTTCTTAACAATTTACGTACTGGTAATCATCTATCAACACGTAGCACAAGTCTTTCTAATCTTAATCGTCATCCGGAAATGAATTTACTTAGGACAAATCAATAGTTTTAAATGATTTCTTTTCTTATGTATTTATAGATGTTAGAAAAGAAAAACAAAATCATGAATCAATTCTTTTTTTGCTTCTTCGTCTTTTTTGTTTCTTTTTTTTTTTTTAATTGTATTTTTATTTTCCGAGTATCTGCTTTTTATAATAAGAATATTTGATAATGTTCAGTATTCGAGGGTAGACAGTGTAATGAGAATAAGAATAGAAACAAATTCAAATGATTGAAAAGATCGAAAAGAAATTAAAAAAAATATATTCTGTTTTATGTCAAGTATGTTGTTCTCTCTCTCTCGATAATATAATCAAAAACAAAACGAGTTTTTGTCATTTAAATAAAAAAAAATCATTTGATCAATATACAACATTTTTTTGTCTTTGATTATTAGACAGTAAGTAGACATAGGATTGTTATGTAATGTTGTTTATTATGTAATAGAGAATGGAAAGAGATATACCTTGTTTTGAGTTTTTCTATCTTGTTCTAAAGTGTCCTTGAGGAACTTTGTTGATTCTATGATAACGTATAGACATTTAGTAATCATTCAATCTGATATATTAGCTTGAATACGTGAGTATTCAAAGAGTATATGAAATATAGA